GAGAACTTTAAGAGGGAAAAGTAATGGGCAGGGAAGCAAGAAAGGAAGTGTGGAATGCAACCGCAAGTGTTGAAACTCAGTCACCAGTCATCAAGGGTTCTGTTCATTTTGTTTTCGTGTGATTATTGCTTTGTGAGGATGGACGGGAATTCTTCCCGTACCCTGTGTGTTTGTTTTTTAACTTAAAATTTCAGTTGGTGGCCGGTGTTTTGGGTGTTAAGTGGAAGGTAAGCTGACAGTCTAAACCCAGATGCTTTCTCTTGCCTCTCTTTGGAGATACAGATGAAGAGAAGGAAGCTCATTCTCCTCAAACTTAGGGCAGGGAACAGTTTCAAGGGCAGCCTGAACCTCCACTTGAATCTGTCCAACGCTACACTCTGGCCACAGGTGGTGGGAGCCATCACAGATGGTTTATTGGTTCTCAGCATGGACCTTGTAGTCAAAGCGGTGCCTTAGAGGAAGTCCTGGCCCATCGTGATGATGCACAAAGGATCTTAGTCTCCTCGCAAGTAAACTGTCGCCTCCTCGCCTCTGTCACATCTTGTCAAATTCATTATCCAGGTCCAGTTCTGCAGGCTCCTTTCGAAGCATTTTCTTGGGTGTCACCATTTTTATGGCAAAGGCTGATCCTGGACTACTTTGGATAGGTGTGTGTGGCTCCCTGACCCCCTGGCTTGTGTGTGTCCTTAGCTAATACTCCCGTTCAGCCCAAGGCACTGCCACGCAACTCATTGGTCTTGTCATCAGACACGCCCCCAGTTCTATGTCCGCCTCCCAACAGCCTGTGCTGATTTATCAGCCACACCCGCTTTCTTCTAGTTTACTTCTCAGTTTTCCAAACCTTCACCATAGTTACTAACCAATTAGTAGCTACTAGCTGAGTCCTCCTAACTGAAGGTGAGTCCTTCTCACTGGGCAAGTTAGCACCTTGTGGTTTGTGTTAAAGCCTCTCCTACTAGCATTCGGAAAGGGATGTGATTAAGTGCCACTTGTCACCAAGTCCGGCTCAATAAATATTTTAAAGCTGTGGCCTTAGTAGGATTCAGGACCCCAAATCTCAATCTTAAAAATCAGATCAGAAAGCATTATAAGACACACCTATAAAATTAGTATATTATGAACAACTACTTGTAAGATGGCAATATACAATATATTAGTGTTAATTTCCTACTTTTAAAAAAATTCTGTATCATTCTTTGTTTTTAAATTATAAAAAATTACTATATTATATCATATTGTATTACATTTACAGGTGTTAGTTTTCTAAACCAAACAACAGAACAATACTTCCAAATGTCAGCCTAACATTAGTTCATTTGAATAGGAGCTTCAATCCTACTGTTTCAGAATCTGTTGTAAATAAAGCATGGTTTTTTGTGAATTGACTGTGTCCTTGGACAAGTATGCCTCCCAGAGATCTTGCATGTGTCCTCACAAATAGAGACTGCACAGGGACCCTTCACAGCCCCAGGACCAGCCTGGACATCTGTAGCAAGGAGGAAATGCAGATTCTGCTGGGCTCTGGTGACCTTTCCATCAAGCAGGCTAATCCAAGCCTGTTCTTGGAGATTTCCTGATTGTAGAGGAGGTGTTGAGTTTTTCTACCATTTAAACAAAACATTTTCAGCAAGAGAAATAAGAAGTAGAGATAGACAAAGAAATATGATTCAGCGTCTGTTCTGTGTTTCTTTGGTATGAGGGTAGATCGTTACTATCAAGACTGGGCCAGCCCACTGTTTTCGAAGTCCTGTGGTGCTTTTTAAATATGAGGGCGTACCAAAGCACGATTATATAGATGAAGCTATATACTCCTGTATATTGACATGTTTGTAATGACTACCACCTAACACAAAGAGAGAGTAACCCACTGGTATAGTTCTCCCTGTCCCTTTGGAAGGTTGTAGTAGTTTTTGAAATAAATTGGATTAGACATATCAATGGGAGAGAATGCATATATATTTATGTACATGATGAGTCAATACAGAAGTACCCAGTGAGGTCTAGAAGCTTAGAAGTTTATTTAACTGTATTAGTCAGTGTTTCCATCCCTGGAACAAAATACCCACACTTTTAAAAAGGTTTAATTTGGCTCATGGTTTTACCGTTTCAGTCTGTGAGTGGCTGGCTCCAAGAGAGAAACAGAATGGTTGAAGGGAGTAGAAAAGGCTGCCCACCTCACAACAGCAGAAACGGTGGGGGGGGGGGGGGGCAGGGTCAAGCATACATCACCCCAGGTCACGTCCTGAGTGTCCTGTCTCCAGCCAGCCCCCGCCTCCTAAACACATTTAGCCGTGAACTTGTCAATGCACTAATCTGCCAGTGAGTATAGTACCCCCGTGATCTGGTCATCTTCTGAGCACATGAGACTCTGGGGAGACATTGTAGGTGCAAACCGTGACACTCAGCTGCTGGCCACCAAGAGGTTTGTGTCTATCTCATTACCCAAAATGCATTTAATCCATCTCTAATAGTTACATGAGTCTTAACAGTTCTAGCATTGCTGAAAAAATTCAAGTTTGGAGTCTCTTCTGAGACTGAAGGCAAGCTGGAAGCTGAATGTTAAGGGCATGGCAGACTTAGCAAAAGAAGCGCGGAGCCAGGGACAACGGTACATTCTCCCGGCTCACCCTCCAGTGACCACCAATGAGACCCCAGGTAGCAGCTTCAGCTACCTGTGCATCTCGGGATTACTCCACGGAGGAGTAGAGCCCTTCCTATGACCACGCACCTTCCCAAAGCCCCATCATGAGACCCTCAGAGGACTTTGTAGTTCGAAACCATAGCATACACTTCCAGAAGACAAGAAGGGGATTGCAGGCAATTTTAGAGCAACAGTAAACAATTTTTAGGGGATAGAAGGAGCCAAAAAGGACGAGGTTCCTCTGGCCATTGGGGTAGTGTTAGATTTTCAATCTCTTCCTCTGTGGTTTTGTGTGTTAGGTTTTGTAGTGCTAGGCTCAGACCCAGGATCTTTCATATCCTCTGTGATAAACAATTTTATCACCCTTGGTTAATGACATTTGCTAAGAAGACTGAGGACAGCTGTGTCCTTCCTTAGTGAATCTGGCCTTTCGGTGGAAAAGGAAGTGCAGAGAAAAGCAGTTTCTAGCATCCACTGATCCCAAGGGACTGGTTTAAAATGGTCAGCGTAGCAAGGATTCGCATTTTAGGGTCACTTTCCCTAGGTCTCCCTCTGTAGCCAGAGTGGGCAATTCATATTCAATTTGAATCCCTGAACCAACTTCACTTTCTCAGCTCCACAGTAAGTCTCCTAGATGTCTTAGAACCCTTATTTTTCATTGGCAACATATTATTACATTTATGTCAGCCCATAGTTGTACGTCTCTTTCAGGCTGCACAGATGCTACCGTATATTTCATTAGTCCTCTTCATGGATATATATTTCTAATTTGTTTGCCAATACAGTACAATCTTGAATACTCTTGGTTTGCTTCTGTGCTCGTTTTCCCCTTTTTTCAGGATGAATTCGGAGATGCAACTGACATGGAAACACGAACTCATATTGTTAAGGTTTTCTTTCCAATGTACTTTTGTTTTTAGGAGAAGAAAGCAGACCTTCCCGTGCCAGGCGCAGAGTTGGGCTCTTTTACCCCAAACCTCCGTTTGTCAGTTTAACTGTTATAAATGCCAAGAGCCGCACACAGGCCCATGTGCTGGAGCTCAGAGGCAAAGCATGGTGTTTAGGCATGGATGCGGCCAGCAGGCAGGAGTGGTTGCTCAGGAGACTGTGAAAAGCCCTACGAGACAGACAGAGCACCAAGGGCCACCATCTGTCTGCTGGAGCAGAAGATGGAAATCAGAGAGTAAGCTGATGCTTGCATGCCAGGTTTCCCAGGGTGAATGCAGCACTCATCCAGCGTAAAGGAGTCTCCCTGGGGTCCTCCTGCCTCAGCCCCTCCTAGACACTCCCAGGGTCCCTGCAGTGTGTCCTGTCTGTTTCCCTTCCTCTGGAAGGCTTGCCTCACTGTGTAACAGTTCTAGCAAGATGTGTCTATTCCAATAGGATAAATGATTGTAGAACTCAAAAAAACAAGCCAGCAAGCGTGAAGGATCCAGTCACACTTCACTCTGGTCATTGTCCCAAGTGGCCAACCTGCACGGTGCCAGGGTGCAGTCATCAGCCAGCTCCCTGTTCTTGACGTGACTCACTCATAACTGACATGTAAGGCGTCTGCACTCCCCACTCCGTCCCCCTGCTCCGCCCAGAGTTTCTCACCTGACATTTAATGTAACCCTGCAGCTCTGCACCCTGGACCATCTGTTGCTTCACCTGCCGGGGCAGGAAAGTACTAGGCAGGTTGTGCTCCTCCTTACCACCCTTCCTCATCCTTCATCCCGCCCTGGAACCTCTGCCCCTCCACCCCTCCGGCTGCTGAAATCTTTTTTATGTCTCCAGCACATCCCACGTTCTGTCTTCAAGAACCCTTCCCAGAGATCCCACCGGATAGCTTCTCAGTACACGCCATACTCTTATGTCTCAGGCAGAGGACACTGCATGATTTTAACCTGTGTGAAGCCAGGGATTCCAGCCTGTGAATCTTCTGGGTGGGGAAGGGTAACAGCCTTGCACAAAGTAGCTGAGATTTGAATGCTGATGCTTGAAGGAATGGGCTGTGAGCACAAATGAATGAAAGAAGGCAGGGAAACCAAGTTTATTCCATAGAAGTTTCGAAGCCCCAGCAGTTCTCTCTAGGAGGGATTTAGAGTAGCATTCTTAGGGGAAAGGTGCTGAAGCTCTTTGCAAGATAGAAACAACACAGGACAAAGTGAAGGAATGCGGGCGAGAGCCCCTGCAGATCCGGAGTCCGCTGAGCTCCCCGGGCCCTTCTCAAGCTCCTCGGGTGCTCGGTTTACCTCACTGGATTTCATGCTTTCTGTTGCTTTTCTGTTGTGTGGTGTTTTTACACTGATTAAATTCTATCACACTGTCTTTTTAAAAAAAATTTTTTTATAATATTTTCAACTTCTGTCTCTTGCAGGCCTCTAGGGTCCTGAGCTCCGCCCACTTCTGGCTGGGGTTGTTCCTGGTTCCCACGGCGTGTCTGATGGAAGATGTAGCGTGGAGAGCGTAAGTGGAAAAGCATTTGTAGCCCTGAGTGTCGCCTGCCTGTCCTTGCTGCTGTATCACATGCGCTCTGTCAGCGGGTGTAAAAGGAACCAGAGGACTCTGAAAAGTCAGGTCCCTTGTCACCTGTCGGAGGAAGTTTTATGTTGTGCTGTTTTGAAAAATTGTGTTTCCCCAATATGAAAATTCATACAGACAGAAAGTCCTGAGAGAGACTGCATGCAGGTGAAGGTGAACAGGGGGATTATCTCATACATAACTGTAAGGAACGGTTTGTAAATACAAAGTCATGCCTTCAGGCTTAGGAAATTTTTTGTTTTAATTTTATTTTGAAAGTATACAACAGAACAAGACAGAATAAAGCCAACTAAGATCGTACTGTGAAATTAGTACAGAACTTCACAGCAGGTTACTGGGATAACAGTAATAGGTATCACAGTATATTTTGTTATCTTTATAGTAGTTGTTCTTTCAATCACATATATCAAAATGAGATGAAATATAGAACACTATAGAACTTATCAAAACAGAATATTGAATAGAGTAGTACCATTAATCAGAAAAGAGCAAAACAGTAATAAAAATATTTGCCTTCAAAGAGATGGTAGAAGGAAGTCCCCCTTATTTGCTATGGTCAACCTCCCAGGAGACACTCAGATTTTTGGTTCCCATTTGCTAATGGGTGGGGGAGACATGAGAAGTGGGGTAGGGGAAGTGGGATATTTGACTCTAGACCGTGTATCAGTAGTTCACTATTGCTTAGCAGGGAGGCAGGCTAGTTGTTTGGTTTCACAGCGTCCTAAGTTCCAACATGGTGCGGATCTCAGGACCTGCTGCTGGTTCTCCCCCTGGAAGGGCTGCAGTCTGCCACACGGCCACTGCTTACCAGGGAGGGAAAGTGCTTGCTTGGCTTCCCAGAATCCTAAGTTCCAACAAGGAAATATTTTTTTAGCATCTTAAACTGCTGATGATAAGTGATCACAAGTATGGCCCAGCCTTAGCTTACCAGAAAATCATGTATATGGAAGTCAGTGACAAGAATGAAAAAAAAATTCATTTTCCCAAAAATTCATGAAAGGATTCCTTCCAATAAAATTCTTCCACACAGTGAAATTACAGGATCATGAAAAAAATCACAAAGACAAAATTACCATGTAAGTTAATAAAATAAGTTATACTCAATTTTTGTTTCTATTCTAAAATACATCATTTATAAAATGTCTGCTTGCAATGTGCAAAAAGAAATAACTAAGTCCTAAGATAAATTTTAATTTCATCCAGGAGCCAAAGAGAGATTGCTCCAAATGAGGCAATCTTGACTTTGGTTTGAATGGGCCCTAACGCCTCCTACAAGTAGTCTCCAACTTCCCTGAACACTGAGAAGTCCTATCTGGGATTTACTTTGGGCAACATATAATTATTTTAAGGCCGTAAGGTAGAGTATTGAGACTTTAATCCAAACCTTCAGGGAAAAGACATCAAATTTCATTTTTATCTCCCCATTCCTCCCACGCTCGATGAAAATTATTCTTGGCTGACAGTTAAGGATGCCTTTTGGGAAAGTCCTTGTTTTGGCATTGTCTTGACAGCCAACCACACTGCAGAGAGAGAGATGGGGGGAGAATTTTATAGCATAGTTTTCATTTTCTTCTGGTGCCTACTTAATTTTTCAGTTATGAATAAAAAACAACTTCTTAAATGTTCCCATTTTATTTGCTGAAAATGTGTTCTGTAAATAGCAAAATCCTCAAAAATGAAACATAGATTGTGACCAAGAAAGAAATTTTCTTCAGTTAATAGCTGCACTGTAAGTTCTGTCTCTTGTTCCCTGAGTCAGTAGCACAATAGATTTATTCCCTATCTGAATTTGTTGAAGTTTGCAAGTATTAATTCATTCTAGCTAAATATAATATGGCCTTGGCCACATTAGATGGCCTTTTTATAGTGATCAAGATGTAGAAGTACGCTTATAAATTAGTCTCAGACCATCTTTGTCAACTGTCTTTAGTCTTGTGAAAACATCATCTATTGAGACTAATTCTGCCAAGTGGGACCTGAGCAAAAACGTTCTTTCTTCCCAGAGAGTGTGGGCTGTGCAGTCTGTGTCTCCGGTTCTGATCCTTCCAGCATGCTGCAAGTACAAATTCCTGTCCATGGAGCAAATTATCTATCTATTCCCTTCAACCAGGCTTGATTTTGGTCCTGTTGTAGGACCCACACTGCCAAATTATCACCATTTACATTTTAACAAGAATAAACGTGCCAGGCATGATAGCACATGCCTGTAATCCCAAGCATATAATATCAGGGAGCTGAGGCAGGAGGATTGCCATGAGTCATGCAGCCTCTACTACATAATGAGTTTAAGGCCACTCTGAACCCTGTCTTAGGAAGAAGGAAGGCAGGAAGGAAAGAAAGAAAAATATCAAAAGACACTGCTCTCCCCTCCACCCTGTGGAAAGAGTGAAAATTCGCTTACCCCTTCTGGGGATCTTGCCGCTGAGTTGGCAGACCGTTGGGATGGGCACAGGAAGGGTGGTGGGAGCCAGCAGCCAGGAAAGCTGGCCTTGTGTGTCATCCTGTGAAGCAGTTGTAGGCCCAAACTCGGCTCCTCCCAGGCGTGATGAGATCTCACTCTCAGAACGGCCCCTCCTGACATCCGGAAGCTCTGCTTTCTTAGAAGCATTTTGGTTTTGTTTTATTTGCGGGACTGGAAAAGATCCTAGCATGTTGGTCTGCTATTAGAGTACCTTAAGTCTTCTGGGACATTTGCACAACACGGGTGCCCAGCTTGCAATGCCTATTTAATGTCTGGAGTCACCCTTCTCCCCAAAAACAAGAGTCTTGTGAATCACAAGGACCCTGGCCCTCCAATCATGGGGCCTGTGTTACATCTCAAATGAAGCTTCCAATAACATTTGTGTGGAGAGTGAGTTTACAAGTCTGTAAGCAGATCTGCAAGAAGAAGTGGAAATGTAGATTAAATAGTAAAGAATCCATGTTCAGTTTACTCCTGTGTTTTAAACTGCACCATTTGGGCCTAGGGATGTAGCTCAATGGCACAGCATTTACCTAGCACAAACTGTGTTCTATAGCCAGTACTACTAAAACAAAATGTATCAGTTCCAGCTGGGTGCAGTGGCCTGTGAGACTTTACTCCCAGCTACCCAACAGCCCGCAGGAGGATTATTGGAAGGCGGCCTGGGCAATCTGACAAGATCCGATTGCAAAACATATATAAACATAATGTAATTTATAATATAGAGAGAGAATAAATGTAATCTCCATACCTGCATACAACATAAAAAAACAGCTAGTTCCCAAATAATGTAAACTTTAATTTTACCCATAAGCAAAGAGTGAGATTTCTGCAAATAAGATAATATAGAAGAACAATCCAGAAATACTGTTGGAGCAAGTAGATTCGAGGCTCCTTCTGATGTGATAAGCGTGTGTTAAATTGATCAGCTCCAGTGAGGTCACAGTGCCTAATGTGCTTTCCATGCTGCAGCTCTCGTGAATGTGCTGTTTGCTTTTCCTCCTGCACACTGAGCAGCCACTTCGTTTCAGCTGTCTGATATACCGAGGCACGGTAGACTCTGAGACACCTTGAGATGGTGGGAAGAGGTGCAGATGAATGAATAGGAGTTAGGGAACCATGGAGGACACCTTTTTCTTTTTTAGGGAGGGGGCAAGTGCTAGTGATTGAACCCAGGACCCAGAGTACTTGTCCAGGCTGCAGTCACTTGAGTCCACACCCTGAAGAATTCGTGCAACTAACAGCAACCTGTGATGCTGCTACAGGGCTTCCAGCTTGCTCTGAGTCTCCATGGAAACTTTTTCATGCTTGGTGTCCTTATGCTGGTTACTTTCTTTTGCATTTTTTTTCCTTGAAACAAGATCTCCCTGCATTGCCTAGGCTGGCCTCAAATCCCAGGCTTAAACTATCGTCCTGCCTCAGCCTCTCGAGTAGCTGGGACTCCAGGTGCATACCACCATGCCTGGGTGGACACGTTCTCTTTTTAAAGGGTTTTTAAGTTCCGGCACAGGCCATGCCCACCTTTAAAGACCTCTACAAGTGCTTTAAAAAGTGAGTTAGTTACTCCACCTTGAATTTCTCCTCTATTTTCATAGCCTCTCACTTCCAATTCAGGACCTGAGCTGTTAAGAATAAAAATGAAAAAAAAAAAAAAAAAAAAAAAAAAAAAAAACCAGACTGAGGTAATTCACCCATTTTTTTCTATGAAGTTTATCGAGTTTCTGGGTGAAGATCCATTATAGACTAACTTAAGTCAGGTTTGGAATGCTGTGAAATGCCTGTCCTATTACCCTGTTGGCCACAGCTTTTATGAGGGCCCACACTAGCCTATCTTTTATTAAAATAATTGATCAGATGTGATACCTGGCTAATGCAGTATTATTAGAAGTATGAAGCATAAATTGCCCAGAACCACTTTAATATCCTTCAGCTTGCGCTCTTCCAAAATACTTAACCCTGACAGATGCTTAGGTAAGCTGCCACGTACAAATTTTCATCATCTGGGAGAAATTCCTTAGTGCTGTTTTATAAAAATAATACAGAGCTCAAGGCCACAGAGCCCGGAAGAGGCAGGCTCCCATTATCAAACCATCTCTTGTCTGTTACCAGGCATCATGCAATACAGTCCCCAACTCTAGAATGTCTCCATTTCCGTGTCATCATCCCAGATAGGCAGCCAAGTGACAATAAAGATAGTAAGCAGTTTCTACGTACAAATGAGCCTGGGTGCCTTTTAACATTCTAAGGAAACTAATTTCTTTTGAAGCCCATTATTTGTATTTTTGTCCACAGTTAGAATTTAACATTTCCTTTTGGCTTGCATGCAAAAGAAGGGGTCCAGAAAAAAGCCTCGGAAATAAAAAGATCTAAAGGTCAAGCTCCTAAGCAAAAAACTTGTCTTCAGAATGTCCCTCAGAGCCTTGGAGATAGCCTTCGCTGTGTCTGGAAGCTCACAGTCCATGCCTCTGTCAGGAGCCAGACTGCCTGCTCTGTCCCTGTGACTTGGTGTCTTGAGCAGGATGAGATGAGCCAAGCCCTGGCTCCCACAGCTAAGCCATGTCCAGATAATCAGAGTGACTCTGTCAAAAGTGTGACCCACACCTCAACTCTGGCCAATGGCTAATGTTTAAAAGGCTGACTTGATAAGCTATAAGTAAGAAGTTCGTGTAGACTTTGACAGGGAGAGTTTAGACTCCTTTTTCTAATTTAGGCCTTAATAGATAGAGGTGCTTGAGAAAATGATTTCCGTTGCTAGCTTCCCTTCTGGTGCCTCCAACAGTCTGTGCACTGCGCTGTGGATCTAATCCTGGATGCAGTGTCACCCGCTGAGCTTCCCTGGAGGGAGCATGGGGGTACTCATGCTCTCTTAGACCACCTAGTAAGTGGTAAAATCTGGCAGTGCCAGGGTGCTGGCTGCCATGTTCTTCTTTACTTTGCTTAAATTATAGCCTTCCTGTTCCCTGAGCCCAGTGGGTCTTCCAGTGACTCCTCAGCGACCCTCTTCACTCTGGTGAGGGCAGTCCCAGAAGAGTGAGAGAGCTTTCCGTCATTGCTGGAACAAAACATCCGGACCCACAGCTTAAAGGAGGGGAGGAGTGTTTTAGCTCACAGTGTTAGGAAGCAGAGGGACAGACTAGAGCAGGAGCGGGAGGCAGGGTGAGAATCACCCATCCTTCCCTAAGCACCCACCACCCCCCAACCAATCGAGAGCATGTTGGGGGCAGTTTAGGAAGAAACCATCCCAAGCTCATCCTTCAAGACTGTCCTGTACCTGTGTGTGTGGGTCCCTCTGAGTGGTGGGGCATGCTGCTTACTTTATTATCAGGAGAGCCCCACTAACCTGTAGATAAAAGGTGCTCTTGCGCCCAGAACATTCGGTACTACTCAACAGTATACATTGCGACATCTTTTTTTCCTATCTCCAGCAAAACACTGGCCTTTCTCATTTACAGTTTAAGTTAAAATTCCACAATCTCTGCTTTGAACTGCGGTATTTTATCAACCCTGGGTCTCAGAACACTGTTTCAAGTAATTAAGGTATTAGGTGTTAAAACCTGCAGGGCTTTCTCTTGTTTACTTTGTGGGGAAAGATGACAGGCGGGTATACAGTGCCTCCTTGCTGATACCCCATTACAGATTAACGTGGAGTGTTGGGTGACCAGGCCTTATCTTAACGGGCTTTCTGTCTTTGAAGCCAGAGGGCCGGAGGAGGACACAAGTCATGGAAGCTGCCTTTATCCTCTGGGTGTGCCGTGAACACAGGTTTCCCCTCCATGCAGATGCGCGCAGTACTTGCCGTGTCTTTGAGTTCTGGTACCTACGGGGCCTGCACATGTATTTCTAATGAAACTGATACAGAGCTTCTTGTACTAAGGAAAACAGCCTGTCTTACTGATCTGTGTGCCTGCTTGTTTTATAGGGTTTTTCTTCCCTTATCTAACCAAGGCTTATTAAATCCCTTTCCTTCCCGCACATCCTCTCTATCAGGAGTTCGGCATTGGCTTTGTTTAGTCTCAGTTGCTTCCCAGCTGTTTAATGCACACCCGGGATTTATTTAATGAGGACATGGAAGGCAGCACACTGAGAGGCATCCTAGCCCCCATTCCTTCTGTGATGGTGATCTTTACACCATAGGGAGAGAGAGAACCACTAACCTCTAGGCCCTCTGACTGTATCTGGGACAGGACCACCGTGAGGGTTTCAACATCTCCTGGGCCCTCGGGAACCACAGCAAAAAGCTTCAGGGGCTGACCCTTGGATCTGCATAGACCGCACATGGTCTTTGGTCAGCATGGTGGGCAGTCCACCAGGGTTGCAGGCCATCAGTGCTCCAGGGAAGACCCTGCCACCTGTGGTCCGGTCACGCCTGCAGCGCTCAGTCAGGATGCTTCTGGGCTGTGCAGATGGGGCAGGGCTCGTGTTATCCACAGAGCCTGTGAACGCTGCATGGTGTCCCAAGCCCCATGCTCATCAGAGGGCATCCAAGTATGCAGGTATGCATGGACAGCCAGACGGGACAGCCAAAGCTGCACCAGGTTCTCATGCATGGTTTTTCTTTTCCTCTCCACACAGGGCCAAGCACACTTACAAAAAGACCTTGTTGGAGGAGGTGCAGGAGCTGGAGACCAAGTCCAGAGTGATGGGCAAGGCCATGCTGAGGGACAATAATGGAAAGAGGTAGGCGGCCGTGGGTGAGGAAAGCGCAGAGGACCCCTGCCTCGTCCTGCCCCGGCCTTCTCTCTGCTTTTTCTTCTCTCCCTCCTCCTCACCTGGTTTCAGTGGTGGCACATTGTGCTCCACTTTAACCCTTTTGGATGCTCTCTAAGAATGTAACCGTGTGTGGCGAGGTTTAAACTGCACACTCTTCACGGCCACATGAACGCTGACTCCCAGGCTCGCGGACCCTGTCCTGAGGTGAGACAGGGTTGCGATCCAGTTTGAAAGTGACAGGGTAGAAGAGTCCAGATTTAGCAAGGTGATCAGCAAGGATCTAGAAGCTGTATCTCATCCTGGGGTACAGTGCTACAGGCCAATCTTTGCACCCCAGGATGAGCATCTCCTGTGAAAGCACGGGCTTAATGGTGCATGTTTTAGTTATTCATATACATTGCTTACTGTCCACTTGAGCATACTCGAGGTGGAGGTGTTTTTAATGAGTTGTTACTATCTACTGGAATGTGGAAGATTGTGGGAATTTCTCCCACAAAGCTGCGGCTTTCTGCCCTTATCTCTCCCGTGGAGCATTAGCCTGCTCCTCCCCGACTTAACAACTGGGTGTGTGACTCATGTCTGCTTTATCACATGTGTTAAAAATGTTCACAGAATGCATTTGTGGACAATCTATGTGCTTCCAGAGGAGACTTCTGTGTACCCGAGGACACTTACGATAATAGAAAGCCTTTGCCATATTAGGGCTATGGAATGTCTAAGTGCTTAGAGGGAAATCCGTAACTCACTGCATAAAACAGACATCTAAAAGTGGAATAACTTCTACAAACTCCTCCTTTGTGTTGCTTTTATATTGTATTTACTTGGGGCATCTTTTAAAGTGATGAAGATAAAGCGAATTTTTTTGTTTTTGTTTTTGTGGGTTTGTTGTCTTGTTTTGTTTGTGAGACAGCGTCTCGCTATACAGTTCAGGCTGTCCTGGAAGTCGCAGTGTAGCCCAGGCTGGCCTCAAACTCTAGACAATCTTCAGCCTCCCAAGGGCTGGATTATAGGCAAGCACCACCATGCCTGGCCCAAGCAGATTTTTATTTTAAAAAAACAATTCAAACATTTTAAGAAATTTTAGGAGTATCATTTCAAATAAATATTGATATTTTAGGAAGGGGATATTGATCTAGGATCTATGCCATTGAAGTTTTGGTGTTTTGGGAGATTTATTTATTTATTTACTTACTTACTTATTTATTTTTGTGGTGCTGGGGCTTTAACCCAGGCCCTTGTGCATGCAAGCAAGAACTCTATCGCTGAGCCACATCCTCAGCCCTGAGAGTTATATTTTAATGAGCACATTACACATTCATTGTTCATGGCTATGCTAGTCACTATAAAAAATTATCGGTCAAGAAGACAAAAGAATGTTGTCTTCATTAAGCTTAAAATCATGACTGTGTGGGGCCGCACACTCAGGTCTGTAGCAATTGCCACACCAGGCAGCATCAGGCTTGAAGGACCTGTGTCTGAGACCACGTGCGGACCACACTGAGGACCAGTGTCTCAGACAGCTTAGGCACAAGGCGCAATACTTCTTAGGCTTCCAAAGACCTGCAACATGCTTTGAGTCTTCACAAGAAGCACTGCTATAGGTTCCAAGTAGCAGTAGAGGACCCCAACAAGCTGAGATTAGTCCACATTTGTAGCTCTGTACAATTACATCTGTCTTAATACCTGATAATAAGCCCAGTAAGTTTTATCATATTTGAAAGCAACCCATTGCCCCTCTTAAAACTCACAGTCTCAAGTATACACAAAATTGCTACACAAGCATAAGTAATTTCTCAGTAAAATGAGAATTTTTTCTCCTCCCTCTCTCCTTTTTTTTTTTTTCAATGCTGGGATCAAACTCAGGGCCCTCAGAAATACCAGAGGGCTGTATCCTGGGGTCATATCACCAGCTCTAAAGTGAGAATTTCCAGACAAAACTCTAAACCCCAAACATGTTACAGAAAGGCATTATCTATAAGGATGCTCTTTCGTGTTTTCTGTTTTCTCTGACATGGGCATGGCCCCCTGTGGCCTCCGAGGTTCTTAAAGCTGGGCTGGTGCTGGGCTCAGTCACATGGATGCTCAAAAGAGGCCACGGATGCAGGAGACACATGGCTGGAAGGACCTCGAGACGCTGTGTGTTGGAGACAGGTGGAGACCAGGAGTTGAGCAGGCAGTGGGGATGAGTATGCAGGTGTAGGGGCATAGATGTGGCTGTGTGGGAGCCGGCACTCTGTTGGGACAGCCACAGGCTTGTCGCAGAGATCTGGAGCCTGGGCCTGACCAGCTTAGCCAGACCTTGGCTAAGACTACCTCCTCTTCTGCATAGCACAAGGCTAGCGCTTTTTGAGGTTGGGGTTAGGGATTATAAACATCACATACAGCAGAGCGTGCTGCCTGAGCCCCTGCAGGAAAGCAGCCGGTTCCTCACACATATTCAGTGTGCCCAGGCATGGAGCAGGAAAGATTCATGCACTGTCAGCCTTGCAGGAGAATGTAAACCTCCGCCTCAGCCTGTTGATAAAAAGAACATATGTGTGTGTGTGTGTATGTGTGTGTGTGTGTATAAATGTGTGTGTATGTGCCTGCATGCACACACTAGAGATGCACACAGGCCACACACCAGAGCCCAAAGTAAAAAAATCTGCTTTTCCTGTTCAAAATTCAGTCTTTAATATTCAAGCGCACATCAGAAGACAGAGTGTGAGTAGCATTTCCCCTGTCCACCTGCAGGCCTGTCTTCTAGTCCCTCCTCAGTCGGTGTGACTCTGTGCGCCCCTGTGGACGTGCCCACGTTATGTGTGCAGGCCCACTTAGTTACACCGTTCCCTGGTCCAGTCCCAGCCTCTTCCTGCCTCCTGTGGGGCTGTGAGCCAGGAGATGCAGCAGGCTGCTCAGCAGCCCATCGCCGCCTTTGTTTTCCTAATTGCTCCGGATTTCTGGGTGGTCCATCTGGGAAGTAGATAATGGAGGCCGGCTGCTCTCTTTCAGAGCCAGTCTTGTCCTGCTGCCTCACAATTGTCCCTTTATCACCTTTGTTTGCTCTTTCACACCTGCTTGGATTTCTGTGCGGCTCTGCGGCAGGGGGCTGAGGGAACAGAACCTTCAGCTGGGTCCTGCTTGGGAAGATTTTGTGGGTTCCCTCTTTGAGATCCTAGGAGTTTTTGTCCCCTTTCGTGTTGTCCTGTCCATCCTCTCACCCCCATCTGCTGTTTCAGTTCATTCCTACAGCTCTCTTGTGTGTTTGTTGACTAACTGGAAATGCCGAAGTCCGTGGAGGCAGCAGTGAGAAAAGTGACCGGGTGCCTGATGTGCCGGCTCGTTTTGGACAGGACCCCAGGGAGAGTGTGAGAGAGGTGTGGTCTCACTCTCCCCAGAGAGGTTGATTAACATTGCTGCTCAAGCACAGAGTGAACATAGAATGAATCCTAGGTGGTCCGCACTGCATGCCGGAGGCCGGTATGGCATCAGCACTGTACTCCATATCTGAAGATGTACAGGCTGGGATCTGGTCCTGCATCCCTGCGCAGGCCACGGCCTCCTAACCTTGAGACTCACTGGGCTCGGCTTTGACACCTCCCTAGGGCTGTGCTGACAGCCTGCCAGTACCCTGGCCGCCACCCCACATAGACACTCTAGAAGGGCATGTCCAAACTGTCTTCTAAGAGGAAAAGCTTTTTATGCTTTTTTTCCTTCCTTGGCATGAGGCAAAGGGCTGTGCGTGTTTCAGCTGTCGGGCGAGCAGGGTAAAGGTGAGTATATTCAGAGGAGCGCCTTGTCCTCAGCTGTGCTTAATCAAAACCAATAGGAGTCTTCCTCTCCTTCACCTCAGTCGGTGGGAGCGGGGTGGGGTGGGCCCGAGTTCATTTTCTCCAGTTCAGTGTCAAACAGTGCTGGTCGCTGTGCCTGCATTTTCCCGGAGAGGACAGATCCTCCTTCCCTCAAGTGCTTCCTCCCACCCCCACGTGTGGCTGGCACGGTGCCTGGGGTAAAGGGGGCAGCGTGAGCCTCCACCGATCGATCTCTCTTCCACTTTGGTTTTGTGTTCTCTGTGGACACCTACGTGTGCTCGGTTATGGGGCTCTGGGTAACGTACACAGACAGCCCCCCAGGACCCCAGGAGGGAAACTGAGCCCCTCCCCTGCCAGAGCAAAGAAACCTTGTGCTCTCCCTAGTCCTCACCACGGCTAAGACAGCAGGGCTGTGGTCCAAGCCCAGGCTGTCATCTGGGGATCCTAATGGAGTGTTATCTACTGAGAGAGGGATGCACCTGAAACCCACCGGCAGGATTTCAAACAGACTGAAGACGGTTCCTCCCCTCCAGACGCACTCTCTCGGGGCTGTTTTTAAAACCAGTTATAAGTATGTGTGTGTGCATGTGTATGTGTGTGTGTGTAAAGCAAAATAACAAAACCTCTCCAGTACACTCAGAATAAGTACACAACTCAAAATTGTCCATTATGCCATGATCTTTAAACAAATCCTTTGATCTTTAACCTGTTTACGGGTTGGGAGTGGAACCCAGTGGTACAGTGCTTGCCTGTCACGTGCACCGTCCTGGGTTCCATCCCCAGCACCACAAAAATAAAAAAAGAAACATGTTTAGAGAACCATTTGGCCTTGTCACAGTTCTGTGTCCAAGTTGGCACAACGGGCAGGTGAAAAGCTCGCCTCAGCTCCAGGGCACTGGTGCTGCCCACTGCTCCCTCGATGGTCACTGCCACAAAGGGCTTTTTCAGAGCCCCACCTCCCTTTGTCTCCCTCACAGTGCTACCCATATTTCCTCCCAACATGACTGTTCATTTTTTACTGGCCAAAGGATAGGAAATTATGGCATCATTTCAGCAAATTTTCCAGGCCAGGTGGCCAACGTCTGCGTCCAACACCTGGTTAAGATTTATTTGCCTTCCAGCTGCACTGTTTCCATGGCCGTGTCGTGGAGCCCAGCAGCGAGTCCTGACTGTGAG